ACATTGCTGCACGTGCAGTCGGTATGTAAACAGAATGTAGATAGATAAGTGTTGGCCAAGGGAGAGAATTCGGCCATGGGCTAAAGCGAGATATCCGTGATAATATTATTATTTATGATAGTTTTACAAATTGTTTGTGTTTTCTGGAGAAAACGAGCGTGTTATACAGTCGCGGCCTTGTTTCGGTCATAGTGAAAACTATGCATGTACATTATTACCGTGTACCTACTGTATATAATACAATATAATACGCATGAAAACGGTCTAGTCAAAAGTAAACGTTACATTTTCACCGTTGCTGCCAATGCCCAAGAGGGACTACCCAAAGCTTCCGTACTCTGGGCACGGGTCCCCCGGGGGCCGTTGGTGTACCCCGAAAACGAATACATTAGAATATTTAATACTTGTATATACTACAGTATTAATTTTCTACATAGTATTATAATAATAAACGAAAAAGGCGATTTCGTCCGGTCGATGTCGTGTCCGGCCGTAACGAGCAGCTAGCTGGTGTATACTCATTATGAACCATCTCAAGTGTGTGTGTGTGTTTGTTTGTGTGTCTTCGACAAATTAATTGTTTCTCATTATTTTATTTGGGAGACACGCCACCCCACTTTGGCCGGAGATGTATTTTAATAGGTTCGATTCGTGATGGTATACTGTACACATATTAATAATAATAATAACTCTAACCAACACCCTGGGGCGCACGCGAACGCTACCCGGTATACACACTTGGATGTATAATAATATGTATAAAATAATACTATAATATTGACACCTGTATTTATATTATGTCGACTGTTATTATATTACATATATATTATTATGCATACCGGATGGTCCGTCTGACGAAACACTCTAATTATCTACTTAAAAAAAAAATACCTATATTTCTATACAGCTTGGCGTTTTCATTATTGATAATTACCCTTATACCTTATATTTATGCAATTAACGTATTTCAATTTGTATTTATACCCAGAATAGGTTCTTTGATATAACAACAATGGTGCCACATAATATACTAAATAGGTATTTTCGTTCGTTTATTAAATTTCCAACAATACATGAAATTGTGTGCGTTTCTTACCTCGAATTGCTTGGGAAGGAGGCATATTTATGTAATGCTCGGTGTTGAAGCCCCACCAATTTTTTTTAGTGAAACAAATAATTGATTGATCCTCTGGCAAAAAATTAAAATAGATTACAGAGCGCAAGTTATGGTCAACAGCTTTGAATACACAATAACATAGTGACTAGGGAAGACACGTGTGAGAACAACGTTATTGATTGACATGGTAATGGAGAATAGAAGATGAAAAATGATTCATTAAACAAAATCTAAGAGGTATATAATAGGTCTTTAATATTGAACAGTGTTTGTACACGGCGCAGTTTTGTATACCTACTTAAACTGCCGACCTTTTTTAATTACTCAAGTAAATATTTTCGGGTTTTAAAAAAAATTGTTGACCGCTGTTCTGAATTTTAAAAGTCTATAAAGCCTTATATATATATTTATATTAGCTTATGTTTGGCCATGGGTATAGCGGTCTCTTGGGTGACATGTTTTCACCGTGGCCGGCCGGACCGTTTGTATAGTAATTATTATTATTTATTGTTATGCGCACCCCGGGAACGGCGTCAGTATGTGCCGACAGAACCGATTAATCCGGTATAGCCGAGGAATAGGAAAACATCCCGAGGGATACCGACCGGCTCCCTTTTAATAGAATCGCACCCGGATAAAATCTCAATGTCGCTAAAAAAAACAACGCCGACACTACTCTTTCAAACAAAGATTATTTTTACACGGCAAGGGAGACGAGACTATTTTTAGAGGAGAAGGTGGAGGATGATTGTTTTAATTTTTTGATCACCCTGACATGAGATGATTAAAGTTTGCTTACATTTGAATGTGTAATATCACAGTAGTGGTGCTCGTCCTGATAGAGTGCAGACAAACGAGTTCGGAGAAGAACATATAAGATAGGGGGGGGGAACCCAGTAAGTTCGCCCAAGTCCTAGTCGCTCTTGGGGCCGTTCTTATCTGAATACATATTTTATTATGTACGACGAGACAAATAAACGTGTGGGCGAGAGAGGGTAATTCGCCAAAACCGCTTAATGTACCGGAAAGCGCCTTTTTTTGTATATTATTGTACTACCGAGTGTCTTATACGGTACACGTAGGTACACTATACGTACACGGAGTATACTTATGACGTGAGCGCACACAAAATACAAAACAAAATGGGGAAAAAAAAACCCCAAGAGGACTGCGCTTAAATAGCAGCCAAAACGCGGGGGGAGGGGGGAAAGGATCAAGGGACGGCGCGGCGGTTAACCTGCAGTTGAGATTTATGTGGAGGTGAACGCCGGGGCCGACGCTTCGCACCTGTTGTGTACATATACAGCTGCAAACGTACACATAAGTAGGTATTATCAAAGTAAGTATATACACACTTGGAAGTCACGGGCCGCAGTGGTCCATTATTATTATTATTGTCATGATAATAATCGTGCGAGAAGAGACACATAGGTAATACGGGACATGCCTGCACTAGCAACGCGGAACACGGTGAGCCGGTAAACCCGAGCTAAAGATGTTTAAACATTATCGTCACATAATTTAAAGAAAATGCGGTAGATAAGTCTGCCGAGGTCCATAAGCCGGGTGTCGCCCCAACAACGGGGTCGCGGTGTGTGGTATAAAAATCCAACCAAGAGTCAAGCGGTGGAATTAATTTCTATTATTGCACTTGTCGATACCGTCTTCGTGTAAACACTGCAAAACAACACTGACAGCCGACGCAAAACGAGAAAGGGATTGAAAAAAATAAATATTTATAATGTAAAAGCCGCGTTTTCACTTCAATTCATCAAATTGTCTTTTTTTTTTTTCGAAAACGCCGTAAACAACATTGACAAAATGATAAGTGCCATTGGTATATGTTATATGTTATTATAATATTGTACAAAACGCGGTTAGGCGGTTACGACTTTACGATTATGTATACGAGTTGTAAATGCGCCTAGCTAGCGAGAATAATAACAGACAATTTGCTTAATAGAAAACCACGAGTGTGCTCAAACGTTATGGAAAAATATTAAATATATTTAAAAAAAAAAAAACTAAAATACAGCGCAGATTTTTGTAAGCAGCGTCGGTGCACAAAAACGCGGTTGTTTTCCATTCCATTAGCTGTTGTACTATAAAGGACTTTATGTTATCATGTTGCCGGCGCTTCAAGTTCCCCTAGATTAAGAAGAATAATAATTTAAAAAAAAAAAAACCTCTTCGGTCAATGCATTTTATTTTAATTAGTATTATACTTACAGAGTGCGTGGCGGTGGTCTCTCTTGTCCGCGCAGTGTCGCGTTACTATTTTAAATATACTTACTGTATATTGTAATAATATAATTTATGTGTATAATATGTACAGCGAATCCGATCCGGATTATTCGGGTGAAATCAATAAGAGACTAGCTGTTATTGTATAAGTTATATATAATATATACATATGTATGATATTAAGTAAACTGAGATGGTGCTCCTTCTGTTGCTGTTCCGAGGAAATTATATATGTACAGTAATTAAACTAACCGAGTGCAAAGACAACATCCGTGTAAAGGGCTTGCGACCTTAATAATATATGTGTACTCATTATATATATAGACCGTTTTTAAGTTAATACCGTATCGGATGAACGAGCATTCCATTTGGTAGGTACTCCAGACGTCGTTGAATTTTGTATACGTTTCGGGCGGCACACGGAGGTTAAACGTGAAAAAAATAAAAAATTAATACTGGTACCGCAAACTGAGAACTTAAGTCTAATAAGAAAATTATTACTGTTGTTTATAATACATTTTCTTAGACTATTTTCTCTGGGAGACCAATTTCCCAGGTTGTCGTTCATCCGTTTAAAATATTATGTATTATATTATCCTCGCCAAGATACTTTGGAAAGATTTATCTGACCGAAACGCAATTCGGTTTAAAGTTCTAATTGATTTTACAACGTCAAACAAGGATTTCCGCCGACATTGGACGTTGGACATTAAGTCTATTATGTTATTTTCCTAGGGAACGTGGGGATGGGGGGGGGGGTGGAATTTCCCCTAAACGCGTGGCAATTACGGCCAGGTATATTTTATATCTATATAATATATTGTTGCCTAATCGCGTTTCGTCGGGTCCGCGATGATGGAGATTTAATAATAATAATAATAATAAGAAGAAACCCGGTTAAACATACACACACATAAGATGCGTTTACCGCGGTAATAATATTACACTAATAATAATTATTATGGGTAATTACTCTCGTTTGTCGTAAGGCGCTACTATATTTTTCGTGTATACCCTACCTACCATTCATTATTATTATTATTATTAGCCTCTCGGATAGAGTCCTGACACGTTTCCACAACAGACTCCGGGTAACACAATATCTCTCATCTTGTGCGTATGTTAGTTGGACTACCGGGTGCCGGCTTTCGTCCATATATATATAGGTAATTATCCGCTTCTATTCCCGGCGCATCCAACGTGTGCATACACAGTGTGTAGTATAATATTGTTATTATATATGTATACATACCGACGGACCGCTTGACAAACGACGTCTCATTTGTCCTGTAGGCAGGTACATAGGCTGCTGTAAAACGAACATACTCGGGAATGCGGTGGTCCGTTTGTGACGTCGGAAGTCCACTAAAATACATAGTTAACCCAAGTCGCCCCCCAAAAAAAAAATTGCGAAAAAAACCCTTCAAACGTTTACAATACCCTGTAAAAAACTCAGTTAAGAGTATCCACACTTCATGCAGATACATCAATACATCATATATGTCCTGATATCTATTTATCCTTATATCCTGCAACTATTTTCAGAACGACCTCCAGCCATAAGACATATCCATGACAAAATGTAATTTATGTAATTTTTTTAATGTTTTTTTTTTTGTATTTTCCCCATAATATATAGATATCTTGGACGGACGGCACCGGCATAGCGTTTACCGAAGGCATCAGTACGTCCAGCACGACCATGGCCATCGACAACCGTCGGTTTGTCACCCGGTCAATTTTGAAATTTTTACCGAAAAAGGAATACCACAACACTTCGATATGGTGCCAAGCTTTGAGCATAGCCATCGAGAACAGACTCCGGACCAAGATACACATGCACATCAAATTCGCGCCCAAGGTGAGTGCTGCTGTTTAAAGTGTTGATATAGTATAGCTATTATGGCGGTAGTGCTCCAAGTAAGGGAGGAGATACGGGGGGGGGGATGCGAACCCTCTACTTTTTTTCAGTTAGTATTATCCGTCCCTTTTGGATTTAAAAAAAAAATGTATTGTTTTCAAGCCACAACTAAATCGATTATACCTATATCGACTGAGCTGTCTGATGCGGTAGCTTTCTGCGCCGTTTGTTGTTCTCACATTTGCATGGCAAAGCCATAATACTCGAACTTAGAAATCTGAAATATCATATCAGTTTCTATACATTTTTCTTGTATAAACAGTCAATGTCGTCATGGTCGTATTGTTGTTGCTACACAACACGGTTTCTTGTCTGAAATTGATGTCAAAAACAGGGGATCTTGAGAGGGCGTTTGGACGAAGAATAACAAACGCCGATTGCTCTTAGTGTAAGACGGTGTGACGTGTGGTGTGAGATGAGAATTTGTCTTTTGTAAAAAAAATCAAAAAAAGATTACTCGACCGGATTTTCTTCAGCGCTACATGTGTGTGTGTATGTGTGTCTTACTAGAAATTACCGTATATCCGACTAATGGACGTCGTGGGGGACAACTGGACGTCGGGACGCGTTAAGTCCGAGGCCTTAGTACACATACACTCAGGGTAATTGGTTGTTTTTTTTTTTTTTGAGTAACAGACATGAGTTTCTTGAGGCTACAAACCACTATGTGTGGTTTACAGGGCATATACGATGTGTGTGCAACTGAAATGCGACAAAAATCTTAATTTTACGACCAATTAAAACAAAAAATATGTTGAAATAATTGATTTTTACCTTCGTAACACGGTAGTGGTAATGGTGGTGGTTATGTTTAGGTCTGTGGAAGTCTCATCTACACGGATATGTATAATATCATATAGTATTCGATATGGGGGAGAGGAGGGGGCGATTATAATATTATACTATAGCCGGTGTGTATCTCGAAACGACTAGCTTTTAATTTAAAGACATTTTCGGTCGTCAAACCTGTACCGGTTTCGACGAAATTAATTAACTAATTTATAATATAATATTATACCTACATGGATGTCCACCGTTATTAGTGCGCGCGGTGTACACATCTTATTTACACCATAAGAGAGACGGATTTAATTGGGTTACTTAATTTACTTTATATTTTTATCCGTATTATTAATGTATACAAACACACGCATAAATATACATATGATTATATCTGTCGCATTTTTGGCGTCTTCTATTCGACCGCGTTCTCAAGTAGGTGTAGTTTTAGTGAGACAAAAATTAAAAAAAAAAAAAAACACTACTCCAGATTGAAATGTTGACATTTACTGCGAATTTTTTTTATCACAGTCGGAGATAATTTTTTAAAATAATATAATTAATTTCAAAAAACTCTTAATTTGCAACAAAAAAAAAACATCTCATTGAGAATCGCTTTGGTAGCATAAAGTAGATGTTCACATTTTCAATTTATCGTTTCTATTAGACATGGTTTTAATCAGACGAGAATAACTTTCAATAGCATTATTAATAATATATTATTGCCTACACAATACTCTTTGAAATAATAAAATTGCAGTCGTATTAGTGCACAGTGCGTTAATTAAAAATGAATAAACGAGTTTTTCATCTGTTGACACTCGGGGCGTTTTGTACAATTTTATTATAATGTAATTTGATTATGTAATGAATAATATTAATATCATTTTTTAATAGCTCCTATAAACACCTTACCTGATGACATAATATAAAAACCAAATTTATATAATAAATAATACAACTATGTATATATGTAATATATTATAGTACCCAATTATACATAAAACGAATAATAATAATAATAATAACACTGTATAATTAATCGTCGAACGCGTTGGGCTTACACCGACTAGATTATACTGATATAATGATCATTAACTCATTAGGTTTAATTAACAATATATTTTTTAACTCTCCCATAAAAAATGATCTCAATTTTCCACTAGTTTTGAGATTGTCACCATAATTAAATATAGGCGTCAGCTTTTAATATTCAAACGGGATGATACATTAAAAAAAAAAAAAAATACATTACCTTTCTAATTGGTTTTTTTTATTTCAAAAATGTTCATAGTCTATTTCAAGTTTCTTATTGTCTAAGGTTCAAGCTATTTAGATATTCTATGCCATTTAAAACAAAATTTACAATTTCCACCAAAATAATTGTTGGCATGTAAGTTCATATTTCCAAATGAAAACCATGGTTTTAATTATTATAAAACGGTTTTATATATTTTGAGCCACAAAAATTTACCGGATTTTAATCTTGTTACACCGGGCGCCCCTCTAAAGTTCTTGATTTTTTTTTCTTTTTTTTTTTTAAGCAATTTGGCCTCAGAAAGGCGAACACTACCCCCCGCATAAGCAATGTTAACCGAAAGAAAATTAAACAAAAACCCTGGAAACCATAATCAAGTACTATCTGAAAACAGTAAAGTGGCCACTCCAACCGACTCGGGGTGTAGGTACTGTGATCCCGGGGCCAACGTCAGCGTTTTTTTTTTCTTTTTTAATTATAAGTCTAATTTCGATTCCTTAATTATGGTTAAAATATTATCCACATTATACACATCAAGTCTGGAACAAGTTACCGGCCGTATGTATCTGCGTCTTAGGTATTCGGATAGAAAAAAAAAACTGTGATTTAATTATTGTTGTTTTGTGCATCGCACGATTGGTTTTATGTGGTCGTTAAAAAAACGCTTTAATTAAAAAAAAAAAAAAAACGATGGATATCTCGGTTATGTATATTTTTTTTTATGTATGTAGTTTTTTTTTTCTTCCCGATTTTACAAATAGGCCCGAACAGTGTGACAAACATTAACGCCGATCGGGTAGGCCGATAAGACGGGATCTTACCGCCTAGGTCGCGGTTACTTGAACTTCTCTGAAGTTTGGTGCACAACGCCGCCCGAGTGTTGTGACATAATTAATCGCCGTCTCGGTGGATTTGCGAAACGTTTGGCAAAACATGTAAACATATTAATAATATATCAGGTGTAGATGTGTATCGTTTAATAATAGGTACAGGTATTAATTTATTAAAATACTTCATAAAAAAAATACATAATATAATATTTATGTGGAATCGTTTGCCCGTCCGATCATCGCAGATATATTTATACGTATAATATTATCTCGTTTGTTCGTCCCGAAATTAATTATAATAATAATTATTATTCGGACGCAAATAACAGAAATATCCGTTTTCTCGGGTTTAACTGTCATTTCGGATCGCCTAAACCCGTTTTGGATAACTATCTTACCCGGTCTTCATTATTATTCCACACGGGCCCACCGAATATTATACATACATATATGTATCTGCTAGTGAGTAGTGTTTCACACGTAGAGAGGTGTACACACAGCAGCCACCGTTTAGAGAAATATTCGTTCTGTCCTGTATGTATCCAGAAACATGTTATTTTTGTATGTATATATATATTTTATGTGTATGCTTGCCTATAAGATACGATTTTTATACTTTTTGCTGAACATTTTCAACAAAGTTGTTGAACTCAAACACTTGTACGGGCGTTTTTCTTACATACGGAATTTCAACGGCGGCCTTCTTAACAGAATTAACGACTATATTAGGTATTTTCGAAACCGCTAGATGCTCTATATTATTATTACCTTAAGCTGTTGCGGTTTCTATAACATACGTAACGGCGGGATAACCGTCGCGGCGGGTTTTTGGAATATTATACGAAAATCGTTATACCTACTCCCGTCGGTTAGGTGCCCTCTCCCTGTTCTCCTCCTCCCGGTTGTTCCCGGCAATAGTAATTAGAGGACGTCCTTCCGCCTAAAAAAAAAAATATATATAATTTATTACGTTTACGTGTAATTACCGAAAACGTTCTTCTCTGATCGTCGTTTTGCCGTGCGCCGCTAATGAACAATAATAGCCGTGTACGCGGTACAGATTTTTGTTATTGATAAACACTGTTATTAACAGCTATACACACACTTGGACAACGCAAACGAAAAACGGTTTTTAAAAATATATATATATATATATATATGATGGCCTATATTATAAAAAAATATGTATGTATGTACATATTGTGTACAAAACAAAAAAAACCGCCCAAGACGACGGACATTAACAGGGGAACGGAAAGCGCCAAATTGTATACAACAAATTAAGACCAAAACAAGAAGTGACTTTCTCGAGTGTCTACGGAACCGATTACAAGAAAAATAACTTTAAAAGTTCTACAACTAGAAAAACTATTAATATATTTTCACATTAAAGTTGGTCGACATACTTAAAACGGTTAAGTAGTTGGATTTTTGTCAAATATTGCCTATCCTTTGCCCCTTAATAAATAGCGTCTACCTATATTATGTAAAATGATAAAAAGCTGCAGTATAGCAGAGGCATACGTCTCCATCCCCCTGGGGGGGGGGCGGATAAATCAGAATCGAGACCAAAAATAAGGGCTTTATTTTTGATACACTGCGGTCAGTTAAACCTTATCGACGTCAAAGGTCTCCCCCGACGGTTAATAGTCTTTAGGTTTAGTCCTTATGCGTACAACAGTGTCTTTGGTTCATATTTGCCGAGGGATGATATTTGATGTATTAGAGATTTTGGACTGCATGCCAGATAATGGTGATTCTCCCCCCCCCCCCTAAAAAAATCTCCACCAGAGAGATCAGTTTAAGGCGATTGAAAGCGGGTGGTTTTCAACGAATTGTATATATGTAGGTTCCTTCTCTCGTGGGACAGAGTATATATGTGTATATAAATATATATTGGTGATATCTGCAGTTATCGTGCTGTGATTTTTTTCTATAGAAAATCCTTCTGTCCAATTATAGCATGTACAAACAAACGTCAAGAGTTACTGTAGTATTATATTGTGCGACACATAATATTTTACCGTGTACATAATAAAAAAATATTATAATATATTTAGTTGGCTCGCTCG